CCTGTATCATTGAAGTGTAGCGTACCTTTGGGACTGTTATTTGTTTTTATTTTAGTACTCAATTTCAATGCAATGTTCCTATATTTTTGTATCACTGATACTTGAGTTTTTGGCGTGATGTATGAGTTCTTATCATGCTTAGTTTTGCTTTAGGATAATCCTGCCCCTCTTAGGGATTTTGTTTTGGGGCTTCTTTTTCCTGGTTCCAATGCATCAGTGGATTAAATTGTCTCAATAGTAACAGTACTCAAGTTTCCATGGTACTGTATGACTGTATCTTTTCCAGTTTATGTTCCATATAAATATGTCAGTTTTTTTAATTTGTGATATTCGACTTTCTAGTGTATATAATGAATAATGTAAAAGGCACATAACAAGTCTTAGATTTACGATGATGGAATCTTTCTGCTCAATTGGTTTCCTCATCCTGTGATGCTTCATATATTATGAGTGACTGACATACACAATTTCCTTGAATATATTGCAACTTATGACATTATATCTTGGATATTTGATATAATATTTGGTATTTTTTTTAAACTCTTCCATTTCCATTTTTCAGAAGTATTATGTGTCTTGGTTGCCACAATATTTTTGTACTGATTATATTGCTTCATGTGATGTCCAATTTTGTCAAAAGTAAGATTACCAATTTGCCTTCCATACAGGAACCTAGCAGTGTTGAGAAAATCATGGAAATTGATGAGCATGTAGGCTGTGCCATGAGTGGCCTTATTGCTGATGCAAGAACATTGGTTGAGCATGCTCGAGTGGAGACCCAAGTACTTCTCTTTCTTGTATACTTTATTCACTTTGTTCATTACCTTATCTGTTATCTCACTATATGCTCATAATCAGAACCATAGATTCTCATATGGGGAACCGATGACAGTTGAGTCCACCACACAAGCTATTTGCGATCTAGCTCTTCGCTTTGGAGAAGGTGAAGAAGAGTCTATGGTGAGCATTTTGTGCTATTACAGTGTTACTATCCGAACACAACACTACCACAGGAGTTTCTGATCTACTTATTTCCTTCTGCAGTCACGACCTTTTGGAGTTTCTCTCCTTATTGCTGGTCATGATGAAAATGGGCCGAGCTTGTAAGTGCCAATCATCACAACTGACAAAGACTTTAATTGAATTCAGGAGGCATACTTGCACAGTTGTCTTTGAGTGTGCTTTCAGTTTTGCTTGTTTGTTCTAGTATTATTTGATGTTGTAGCACTGATTACGAGTCGAAGGACTAGTCGAGACTAGTCGATGGACTAGTCCATGAGTCGCAACTGTGGTGTCGACTGTGAATCTCGTGTAGACTAATTCGATGAGTCGAGCGGTCGAGAGACTAGTCTAGACTAGTCCTGCTGTCTGAGTCGCTCGACTCAAATTTGGGAGGGGAAAATTGGAGAGCGAGCTATGAGAACAAGCCGCCTGGACGAGGCCACCGCCAGCACCCACTGACCCGCCGCCAGGACGGCGGATGGCGAAGCAAGGCGCGGCAGCTGGCCGGAGCTCGTGCTCGGGCGGCGGCCATGGCCGTGCCCCGTAGGCGTGTGCGGCCCTGCCACAAAGAGAGGGGGAGAGAGAGAGAGGAGAAGAGGCATGGCGGTGGTCGGCGGGCTCGCCGGCGGCGGTGGCTGGAGGCGCGGGTCGCGCGCGCGTGCTTTTGTGCGTGATGGCGCAGGCGGCGGCGACGGGATCGATCGGGAGCTAGGGTTACATAGGCTGGGATGGGAAGTAGGCTAAGTAGGCTGGCTACTTGGGCCCAAATAGGCCAGCTGGGGGTGGCGTGCTGAGCGGCACTGGGCTAGGCCTGGCGAGCGTTGGCTAGCACTGTTGGTTTTATTGTATATATTGTAATGTGTTGTACAGTTTACTACTCCATACTGCTACTAGGTATTAGTAGTTGACTACTACAGTACTTTGTCGACTAGTCTAGCACTAGTCTAAGACTAGTCCGATTAGTCTATGAGTCTCAACCTCGGAACGATTCAACGACTCGTCGACTCGTAATCCTTGTGTTGTAGTCGTGCTCATTGACTGTTGTAGTCGTGCTCATTGACTTCCTGTGGTGACAAACAAAAAATTATGTTAGTTGCAATTTGCAACTTATCTTACACAAGAACTTAGAAGTTAGGACATATTGCTATCCTGTCACAGTTTCTCTTATGTTATCGATTCTTTGCTTGCATAAGCCTTAGTATGTCATCTACCCTTGGGCCTTGATTCTGGCCGTTTGAACCTTCTGTGCGGTGAATTCACAAATGGATACCAAGACTTTTGAGACGTTGGTTGTTCACTCCTTACTATTTTTTGAGTCCTAGGCATCCTTATATAGGGGATGTTAGCTTCTTACATGTCTTAACAGTTTCCTAACTGGAAACATTTAGCTTGCTAATTCTTCTGGACTATATTTCCCAACCAACTCCTGATTCAATTTTTACGGGCTCCTTGCTGCCCCATAAGATTGGAGTTGACAATAAACAGTTGGACTCATGCACCTATAGTATAGTGCCACCACACTCTTATGTGTTGTGCTGCATATGCTGCAAGGGCCAGCTGTGCACAATATTCTGACTGATAACCAATAGCTTCCATGATGACCATTCCTCCTTGAGGAAAATCTTTCATAATCTTCTCATAGTTATTATGGTTAAGATATGGCATCATATTTAACCAACAACAAAATATTACATATTGCTTAATATAGTTGGGATTTGCTGCGTCCACCAGGTTAATTTGATGTGTGAGCTTATGCCCAGCCACAGCCAATGCTCTAAAATTTTATATTTTGGGTAGGATATCTTCTCGGAAAGTTACAAGTATTGCTACCTCTTAAACATTGTTGAATAGCAAACGGCAGAATGGTCCCTTGGCTATAAGTTTGTCTTGTTCGCATCGTCGTCACATTGCTGTGTTGCATGTGGCAACGATTTTCTACACCCCTCACTCCTTACTAAAAATAAAATAAAGTAGCTTGTTCTACTAGCCTAGAATTGTTTCTTTTTAGAAGGCAAATTAGGAGTGCCTAGACGGTGTAAAAGAATGATCTATATAGATTTGTTGAAGTTCTCTGTCTGCATTTTGTGTCGCAGGTACTACACTGACCCATCTGGAACCTTTTGGCAGTGCAATGCCAAGGCAATAGGGTCAGGCTCTGAGGGTGCCGATAGTTCCTTGCAGGAGCAGTTCAACAAGGTAACACAACAAGATCAAATAGCTCTGAACTGTATGATAACTTGAACACGATTTGCATATATGCAAAGGAAGCTGTAATGCTAACCTTGATTGATCATAGCTAGGAGACCATAATGCTGAAAGTGATGTGTTTCTAATATTGTGTGAAGAAAACCATGACGTGGCCACACCACTCTCTGCTGTATGTCGATACTTGCACCATGTTTCTGAAAGCTGATGATTGAGTTTCTTCTGCAGGAGCTGACCCTTCAGGAGGCTGAAACCATTGCTCTATCTATCCTGAAACAGGTTATGGAAGAAAAGGTAAAGGCGTCTCAGTCCAGTCTCATGTTTGTGATTGCAGTCACTAAGAACCCCCACCAAGTGTCTCGAGTTAAATTGCTATTTGGAACAGGTGACTCCAAATAATGTCGACATCGCCAGGGTCGCGCCGAACTACCACCTTTACACCCCTGCAGAGGTTGAAGCAGTCATAGCACGATTGTGAAACGCAGAAATCTTTGTCGAATGTCAACCAGGATTCGTATGTTCCTTGTGCTGTGTGTCTGACATCCAGATGCCTTCAAATTAGCAGAAGCACAATTGCTCTATGATATGGACACTGATGTTTGCCTCTTTTCATTTGATTATCTTGTGTTAACAAGGTGTAGAGGCCTAGCTGTTGTTGCCTTGTCACTTGCCGGTAAGGAGATTGTACTACACCCTTTTGTTTGATATACGAAGGATTTGTGGCAATAGCATGCAGTATTTCAGCAACAACTGTCGTTTGCACTGTATGTTTTGGATTGTTGAACATAGCGATTTTTCTTCACTTCTTCTTAGACTGGACTACTTAAAGACCGCTAGGTTTCACTTCAGAAACTTTTTATTCGGCTAGGAAGTTGTTCTTTCGCTGCTGATGAGACTGCTTTTAACCTATATAAACGTGCCACGCAATAACAGTTGTGCCTGAAACTTTAAATAACACAATATCATTTCATTTTTGTTCTCTTCACATCGTGGATTATATCGTCACACTTTTTACGTTCTTAAAAAATATCTGAGACAAACTTTCAACAACAAAAGTATAGACTACTGTTTAGTTTAGGTTAGAGCAACTTCAATGAGGCGACCCATTTCATCCGTGGCCGTCCGTTTGGGTTGGCGCGGACAAAAAAGCTGGCCCAACACGTCGACCCAAACGGCTTTTGTCCGCCTGCCGACCCATTCACGTCGACCCAAACGGCTTTTGTCTGCCTGCCGACCCATTCCTGGCCCATTTTTTAGGCTGATTTGCGTCGGCACGGACACAAGACGGACGCGCGCGTTCGCCCTCTTTCCTCACCGGGCCCGTTGGTCGGTGGTACATTGGATTCACACACTCGCCCGCCTGCTACGTCGCCGATGCCGCTGGCCATTTTTTCAGATTAAAATGGATACATAGATAGTTCTAGTCTACATAGATAAAAGAAAAAGACCACTACTCGTCGTTTTCTGACTCCGACTCGGTAATGTCCTCCTCCGACGTTTGAAGGTAGGCGTCAGCAAGCTGCTAGTCTTCAAAGTCCCAACCCGACGTTTTTTGTAGCTTCAGTTTTAATTGAGCTGCCTGCTTCCCCGAACGCTTGTCCTCCCGATAGGCGGCTCGCTCCCTCCTCCTCGCGTCCCTCTCCGATCTCGATTGCTTATAGAACTGGCGCTCGTCGACGATGTCCTGCGGGAAGCCTCCTCGCCACAGCACCAAGGCTTCCACGTCCTTCTCTGCGATGGCGAGACGACGCTGCCGCCTCCGATGGACACGACGATCCTCGTCGGTGAAAAGCCGCGGGAGAGGCGTCAGATCCTGCGCCCCTGGCTCGACACGTTGGGAAAATTCATATCCCGACGAGCCCTAAGGAGGCGCCACGCCGCCGCGTCGTGCGCGCGGGCCGCCTCCTCTGCGGTGTCGAAGGTGCCAAGGACGAGACGTTTCTCGTGAAATCAGATCTCGGCAGAGAAGGCGCCGGAGCGGCACTCGCAGACTCCGCGAAAATCCGAAGCGCGTAGGCGGCGGATCGACATGGTGGCGCAGAGGCGGCGAGAGTGGGCAGCCGACCGAGTGTGGAGGGAGCGCCTTCTTTTATAGCGAGCGCCGGCCGCGGCGCGCGCGCGAACCTTTCCCGCGCGCTGGAGCGCCAAAACCAGCGCGCGCGAACCTTTCCCGCGTGCTGGAGCGTCAAAATCAAGGCGACAACACGATGTTAAACACGCGCGATCGTGAAAATAGGTCGACCCGTTGAACGCACTGCCGACCCAAAATTAAAAAAGGGCGGACGGTAGGCGAGCGGCCGACCCAAACGGACAAAAAGCGGACAAAAACATCGTCCGTTTGGGTCGGGCCGTTGGAGTTGCTCTTAGGGTTTGTTAGTACTTGCAGGGTCGTTGCTTGGGCGGATGGTGTCCCTCTTGATGAGAGGCAACAAAAGCTCTTTTTACGTGTTTGTAATCATTTGATTAAGTCTTAAATGAGCCCTCTCTAAAGTCTGAGTCAAATGAGCGCATTTTTATTCATCATCTCCGGGCTATATATCCTCGTCGAACTCTGGTCATTGAATAAAATTAGGCGGCTGCTACGAATCTTCCGGCTGATTTCCTAAAGAAATCAGCCGGGTCGCCAGCCGTCTGATCTACTTATCTCAGCCCTTCAAAAAGAGCAGTGCTATACACACGATAGTGGCGGACGATGTGTGCACGACAATGCAATCAGCTCCGTCCATTGCATGGCAACAGCAGACAGCAGGCCGCTAGATGCTTATCGTGCAGTGGTCGTGCGCATATTTGTCGTCTGCGAAGCAGTTCCGCTTCAAAAGAGCAGTGCTATACACACGATAGTGGCGGACGATGTGTGCACGACAATGCAATCAGCTCCGTCCATTGCATGGCAACAGCAGACAGCAGGCCGCTAGATGCACGACACGCCATGCTCCTCCCACACCGCATCAGCCACCCCTGCCTCGATTCCCGTCCAGCCGTAGCAAGGCAGCAACGTGTTGCCGTTGCAAGGCATCACGGTTGCCGCCGGCAAGCACTGCCTCGCAAGACCTGAGCCACCACCGGCCGCTGCATCACAGCTCCGAGAGCCACCGCCGAGAGCTTCACTGTAGCACTAACATCGAGCCTTGCGTCGCAGCTCCAAGGCTCGTCAAGCGCTGCAACGCAGCACCGGGAGCCACCAATGAGGGCTCCATTGAAGCGCCTTGCAACGGTTGCCGCCGACAAGCACTGCCTCGCAAGACCTGAGCCACCACCGGCCGCTGCATCACAGCTTCGAGAACCGCTGTCGAGAGCTTCACTGTAGCACTAACATTGAGCCTTGCGTCGCAGCTCCGAGGCTCGTCAAGCGCTGCAACGCAGCACCGAGAGCCACCAGTGAGAGCTCCATTGGAGCGCTGAACGATGCACTGCAACTTCGAGCCCGTCGGCGAGCCTTGTAAGTAGCACCGGTCACCGCCGGCGAGAGCTCCATTGGAGCACCGAGCGCTGCAATTTAGCTTCGGAAGCCGCCGACAAGTTCCATTGGAACACCGAGCACTGCACTGCAGCGTCGACAGCCGCCGGCGAGCGCTGCAAGGCAGCACTAGAGGCCGCTGACGAAAGCTTCACTGCAGCACCGCCGGCGGCGAGCTCCACGGGGTCGCGGCTGCTTGTGCTGCACTGCAGCTCCGCTGTCGTGGTGAGATCCACAGGGACGCAGCTCACCCCGGCGAACGCCCACCTCCGGCCTCCCCATGTTGCTTTGCAAACCGGCGACGAGCAGCGTAGCCTCCGGCCACCTCCTTCATGCTGCGTTGCAGCACCGCGACGAGTAGCAGTGCGGCGAATGTTTCCCCCGCCTCCGGCAACCCCCTGCATGCTGTGTATGCCGCCCCCGCTTCAGCAATGGTGCTGCTGCTGTTGCTACTGCGACAGTAGGGGTGCAGCAGCACAGCGATGGCGCGCTATGGTGGTCAGCGTCGCCCCTTCCTGTTCACAGCAATGGGTGGTGTTCCCTATGGCGAGGATTCGGTAGCTGGTGCCTGGTGGCGTGTAATCGCGTCCCCATGGAGCCCTCTCCTCTCGAACTACACGACCGAGAGATCGGGGGAGGGGAGGAAGAGATGAAGACGAAGGGGAAGAAAGGTGTGAAGGAGACGATCTATTCGAAGAGATAAGGCTGGAGCAGGGGAATCGGTCATCGGTGGACGGCCCGGATGGGCACGTGTCACGCAGCGGACGCGGTTTGCGTTTCGTTGTTATCAGCCGGTTTAAAACAATCGTTTCTCATAAAATTAACCTTAATGAACAACTAATGATTTCTCTTGTTTTAGCCACCTTTTTCTCATTAATAACAAAACTATTTATTCTGATATAAAAAATATTAATTCCAATGGCTTTTTCTATAGTAACCTTCCCAACCATGATTTTTTATTCCACTTTAATTCTATACGAAATAACAAATTAATTCTAATAATACTAAAAAATAGCGGGTTCCATTGTTTCTATGGTTCTCTTTTAAACAGCAAGGCCCTCTCTACACTGGAGCCCTTTCTTTCATTGAAAGGTATTGCAAACGACGGAACTCCGACATAAATTCATGTCTTCTCTTTGGAGCGATGAGGTTAGGGTTTCTCATCATACGTGCATGATGGTGAGATTTGGTGTTAGACACTTCAACTATTTGCAATTCGCGATTTAATCAGAAACACGCCACTTCTAGTGTAAGACCAACGAAGACCTTTATAATAGCAAGTTGGCTACTTCTACAACTTAAATGAAAACCAAGTCTTTCGTGGTTCAAACAGACTCTCGTCTCAACATCATTTGTCAGGATTTTTGGTGATAGGTTCTTTGGCTTGGATAGTTTGTTCTCCTTCTTAATCTTTCTATCCAGAATTCAGTTAATGATGAGATTTAGTATCCTTTCTTGCATTTTCATAACTCATGAAATGCCGAGAGGCACGAATTCCCCAAATTTGCGATGACGACTGTGGCCTAGAGTGTTGGTCCTTAGGGGCACGTGGACGAAGACTTTCCTACTGTCATCGATAAGGCCAGGCCTGCTATGGTATGGAAGCGGTGACAGCAGCCCGTCAATGGCCCGTTGTGGCGACGATACTAGTCGTTCGGTGATATATAAATCTCAATTTGATTTTCATTGTGTTTGTGATATTTTATACTTTCAGTGAACCATTAACAAAAGACCTCGTTGGCGTGTCTTAGGTATTGCGCTTCCGGCGAGGCTCCTTCATAAATCCTAAACCACACACGTCCGAGAAGGGCCCCGTAAGGGCGCATGGCAGCTATGGGCTGCCGTACGAAAAACAATGGGGAACAAATAACAAGAAAACTAGGGTAGGTCGACCGCAGTTGAACATAAAGAACAATGAAGAACGAGTAAAGAAAAGTAGGGTAAAAAAGGAAAAGTAAAAAATAAAAGTGATAGATTGCTTTGTAGTTCGTGTGCTGCTACCTTTTGGTCCATATTGAATATCCAAAACATTTTATAATTCAGAACAGACATGATATTATTGTATGCTCCATACCCTATGTCACCATCCAAATCCCTAGGATAGTTGGTATCAACCGCCAGTTTGCCATATTGTTTAGGTCACCTTTGGTTTGTAGGAATCTTATAGAAATTTCATAGAATAGAATTTTCAAAGGAAAAATTCCTATGAAGCCCTTTGGTTTGTAGGAATAGATTATATTTCTATGTAGGATAGGAACCAATACTTCACATTTCAAAAGGAAAAAAATATTAACCTAGACTCAATGGAAGAATTCCTATCTTATGCATCAAATGAAATATCTCTATAGGAATTGAGATGCATGTCATATGAAATTCCTATCCTATGAACCAAAGAAGGCCTTAGCACTGCAAGACGGTACCATTCAATTCTATCATTAGCAATCGATCCAACGGCAGAAGGTACAATACCAAAGACGAAGTATTCTGTAAATGCACAAATGCCACAAGGAAAGTCAAACTTTGCACTCATTCGAATCCAGTAGAGTGAACACTGCAAATTTGCACGATGTCACTTGAGACCAAAATTATTGCTTGACTCCAGAACAACGGTCGGGTAAAAATGGATCATCCTCTCACCTAAGGTTTTAGAGAATTCTTCTAGACATTTCAGCAGCGGGGGAAAAGATAACATATAGTGAGAGACAGGGAAAACCTCAATTCAACTACAGTACATTACATCTGATCTGGAGAAGCAGTGATCATAGGTACAGTTGGATGAGCTCATCGCTCACAACGGATGGTGTCAGAACACCAAGATCAGTCAAAAGAAGTGTGAGGTACTGGGGAGGAGTATAGTCTCTTGCCGATGTCTCAACTTCCACACCAGCAGGTATCGGAACTCCAAAATCTATCGGTCGATGAGCTGGTGTCATGTCCTTCTGGTCCAGGGGATATAGACGAGCAAACTACAAGAGTATCAAATATACAGGGCTATGTTATCAAACACACTGACACTTCCATCAAGCGATCATCATGCTATAGACAAAAACAGTCATGGATAGTTATATAATACTACCTCCGTTCACAAATAAGTGACGTGGTACGTCTTATTTATGAACGGAGGGAGTAGGATGCAAGTAAGATAAACCATCATTTAATACACTTGTCTACAATCTAGAACTAATTTACTATGTAATCATCAATTGAACTTAAGTTGCGACAGTTTAAGTAGAATAAACTTTCGTGAATACCTACTGCGAGATATAAGAAATCCTGAAATAAGAAATGCAGTAAAGTGATGAATGATTTGTGCAAGTAGTTTCTTGCAAGTTATGACGTGTAGATCTCTGGAGTGCAGAATACTAAGACAAAGTTCCTTAAAATGTACAGGACATATGGCGGATAACAGTGGAAGTTTGAAATGATACTTCCATGTCAAATTGCTCTCACATTATGGATGACTGATCAGCTTAAGGATCCATGAAAACTATCTCTAAAAACAATAAAGAAAACGGCAACACCCTAACAAGTCTGAGTCTCCATGTCAAATAGAGGTCCTTACTACAATGTAAAGAAATATAAGAGCATTTAGATCACTACTTTAGTGATCTAAACGCTCTTATATTTCTTTACGAGGGAGTATATTCTTAAATATACAACAATTTTTACTCGCTGTTCTTAAATATTCAACAGTTATGTTTCATTTATTCCTATTACAGAAAGTAACATGAGAATAGTTTGCAGAGCAACTAGTGAAACAATTTTTAAATAGCCTATCATAGCAGGCAGTACCTTATAACTTTCAGCGGCCACGTATAGAGGTTTATTCATGCTATGAGCTACAAGAGCTATCTGGTAAGTCCCCATCATATTAATAATTCCTCCACTTTCAACAACCCCATCAGCACCAACAAATACCATGTCAACTTCATCCATGGAGTAAGCAACAGCTGAATCAATTAGCACCTTAACAGGAATACCTAATGCTGCAAGTTCATTTGACATTCGTAGGCCAGTTCTGTCTGGTCTGCCCTCTGCAGGTAAATAAACATAACAGACAAACATGAGAAATTGCACTTAACAGACAAGTTGCCACATTGATTATCGTGATTACTAGCCATGAGGTAGGCTAACAACAAAACATTAGAACTGCAACTCTCAGATGATGTAGTGTTAGCACTTAGAGCATACATCCACTCAATATGTACCCATTCAACACGACATCTAACCGCTGAGATTAAAAAAAGGTAAGACATGACTAAAGAACTACTGTATACTAGCATTGCACGTCTGAACGTTACGAAATGATTTTGGTAAAAGTAGATAAACAGTAGATTGCCTTGTGAAATTATTCAACATGGAGGAAACGCAGAAATGAAATAATAGAAAAGCGTAAACCCCATTGATTGTTGTTTGTGAAAAAACAAAGAGTATGGAACCGGTGGGGATTTTTTTTGGCGAACTATAACTGGTGGGATCCACACTAACTAATCTAACTGTTTACTTTAGCTTCCTTCTCTCCCCGTTCCGGCGTTTCCCTTCTAGACTATCTCAAACCCGCTAAGCACGTCCTCTGCTAGCGCTGCAAGCTGGCTTGGGAATCGTGGACCTTTTTATGACAAGGGTGATGTGATGGTTCTAGAAAAGCATGGAAGCAACTGCTGGCTACTGTTCATGTGAATCCTGCTGCTTTCAACTGTTGGATTTAAGATACCAATGATTAGGGTTGATGCTCTAGATTCATTCAAAACTGCTACACTATATAATGGTATAGAAAATAGAATTTCAGTCGAAACACATTAGGGTGCAGTTTCATGCATGAATATGATCTCTAGCCCTCACTACGGTCTACTTTTCGTACACGAAAAAGGTGTTGAGATCAGTCACAACCCTCATTGCGGTCTACTATTTGTACACGAAAAAGGTGTTCAGATCACTCCCAACCCTCACACGCCGTCTACTTTTCGTACATGAAGAAGATGTTGAGATCACCTCAACCCTCACCGCCTTCTGCATGAATACGATCTCCCAAGCCCTCACAGTAAAATATCACAATGATGACCCTGAATGGAGAATACACTGCAAGCGTGTTGAGACCACTGAATAGAAAAAGGACTAGATCAAAATACCTGTGCATAATACACGGAAGAGTTTGCGATTTGAGGCAGCTAGCTTCAGGATTTCCAACACCACTCTGGAATAACCATGTACCAGCATAGTGCACCCATCTGAGATGAAATCTTGGCTGAGCATTGCAATTGTCTTACGGGCCTACACAAATATTCTTCTACCAAATTAGTTCAAAGCATAAACCATCTTACAAGAACAGTGGATAGTAAATTACAGGTAACCTTTAATGATATCTCTCCAAACTTTTCCCCTCGCTCAATTAGGCGTGATTTTGCTGCATCAAATTTCTCATGCTCCAAATGTGATGTTCTTGTTACAAAGCGCATGAACAAATCACAAGCAGCAGACAGAGAAATGGAAGTAGCATCCCAGGACTGAAATATAGACATGTTTTCAGTGTGAATTCAAGTAGTCAGCACCGCATGAGGGCTTCCATAACGAAATGTTCAAAGACTATAAGCAGCTTAATCACTTCATCATTAGACAACATCTACTTGTGAACATAATTCAAACCCTAAGGACTAGAGAGAACATGATGGGTGGAGTTTTGTACATGCCACTACAAGCATACCAAACAGATTTTATGCCATTGCAGAAGGGCCTTTATTTCCAACACCACAGAAAACATCGGAGATAGAGAAAAAAGGCAAAGTGGGTTTTAGGGACCTTCAGTTTGTCGGAAGCCTTCTTGAGCTCGATCTCGAGCTCCATCATGGTGGTGGCCCTGCTGGAGCGGATGACGGCGGCGAGCGCCATGATGGCGGCAACCGCCTCGGCGGCCTCCGGCTTGCGGCGCCAGAAGTTGAACTCCTCGATGACGCCGCCGCCGTTGCTCCCGGGGGAGGGGGGTGGGGCGGCGTCGGCGTCGGCGTGCGCATCGGGGAGAGAGGCGGCAGCGGCGGCGTGGTCGAGCCAGTCGCTGGATACGACGGCATGGTGCTCCGCCCGCGTCTGGTAGTAGGCGGAGATGGGGGGTTCGGGGTTAGGGTTTTGGGCGGCGTCGAGCTCCATGGGAAGGAGGGGGCAGGGCAGAGGGGAATCACACTGGTCAGGGAGAAGTGTGTAGGGCGTGGAAAGAGAAAAATTCACTGAAGGTCCTCCTACTCGTCGCGTTGGCCAATTTAATCCTCCGACTTACAAATATCAGAAATAGTAGTAAGATGCCCGTGCGTTGCACGGCTAACCAAAATGCATTGATCTAGAGTACTTTATTTCACAACTTATGTGATGGTCATTTCATGTGTAACAAATATCAATATGTTTCTGTGGATATATTCATTCTGCTTTTGAGCTCACAAGCATCCGGATGAAGAGTAAATGCAGACAGAATAGCAAACATAACAAACCTATTCTTGCAAACAAACACGTTCCAGTGTTCAAGCTGCATGCAAAACTTCATGAAGAAAAACACTTGTGGTGCTTTGCCAAAAAAAAGCTTTAAAAATAGTTTTTTAACGATTTGTTTATTTTTCTAGTCCAACATTAATGTTATTTTTTCATGAAATGTTGCACAAATAGTTCTACAAGTTTGTTTCCAAAAGATTTCTTTAAATTTTATTGATATTATTTGAGCTGAAGAGCCAAGTTCATGTCCCATCTTCCTTTTGGCATTTCTTATGCAACAATCAAGTAAAAAAATAGGACGAACCTATAATTAGATCCTTGTCGTGCCGAGCTGAGTCGGGCCGAGCAACTACAGAATAGGCATTTCTTCCATATGTTACCATTACATATCTGCAACTGCAGAAGAAGATTTTCTTCTTCATCAATAACCATACATTGGTCCTTGTCAGATCAGAAGGCGAAGAGCAGTGCATCTCACCTCCCCACACTCTGTTCCATCTATGAGAGTGTGATCAACATGGATTGCGTTGCCGGAAAGGGGAAAATAATAGTAGGTGGTGGCTGCGCCGCCGAGGATGAACAGGGCGTAGCCACCAACGTACTTGTGCGTACTTGTGGGGGTTGGTGTTGGAGGAGACAGGGGAGGACACAGACGTTGTGGTCGCAGTTGGGGCTGCTGAAGTAAGAATACAGGGGAGGCAGTGAAATGTTGGGGCTCGAACGACTCCAGTGGTGAAATGTTGGGGTTGTGGCTCGTTTCCAGCCCAGTATTTTTTTTAAATTAGCAGCAAAATGTATAGGCTACAAGAGCAGCCCAAGCCCAATACGAAGCTATCCTTATTTGGTGACCTAAACGAGGTGCATGTACCCACTGACCCATGCGATGCATCCATCCCCCCGCCGCCGCACACAGCTGTTGCTCGCACCTCCCTCCCTCTTACATTCTCTTCTTCTTCCCAACGCATCCATAATCCGCCCCCGCCGCACGCACACATGCATGCTTTCGTCGCCGAGCGCACACACGCACGCAGATGCTCACGCGTTGCCCACCCTTGTTCTTCTCTGCTTGTGTTGCGTCCTCACCAACGTTGCAGGTGCGTGCCCTCCGCCTCAACGCCGCACCGCCACTTGCTCTGGCACGCCCTGGTGGCCGGCGGTGACCAGCATCACTCACAACACATCCACAGCATGCACCTCCCTTGTCCATCCACTCACGAGCCGCTCAGGCTAAACAGAGCCAGTGCAGAACGAGCCGAGCCACCCATATGCAGCTCGTTGGCATCACCCAGCTGAACCGAGCTGGCTGCTTCCGAGCGAGCTAACATGGCTCTGTCTGAATTCGGCTTGGCTCGTGTCCAGTCCTAATCGGCAGCATACTTACCCAGGTCGAAGTCAGGAAGACAGGGAAGGGGGTGGTGGAGACGGCGAGGAGGGGTTTGTGGTAGTGGTCGGCAATGGAGCCTGGGGGCGAACGAACAACGACACCGACCTGTCCAGATCCTTCTTTCTTTCCTGAGATGGCGCTAGATGAGGTGGGGTAGAGATGGGCTAAACACTGAACTGGAGTGGCAGGGGGTTATTTATAAAATTGCCATAGTTTGTCTCAGACGCGTTGGATGCAAATCGGATGGCTGTAAATGAAAGATGGCAGGCACACCATCATCACCAACTCAGATTTTTATAGGAGTAGAGATACAATCACGAACTTGTCTCAGGTGGTCATATATCCAATGTACAATTCTTGTACGTACGCGCTGATTTGGCAGTTGACTGGCTTGCCCACACATGCATTGACCGCCAACTCATCAGCACCTAATCTTGTCCGATCAATTCGGGGGAATGCGGGGGTGCCCCCGCCTGGTCAGACCGCATCTGGTCGGCCGCCCCCACTACTAGAGAAAAACTTATGCACATAATCTTAGCAGTAGTGCGATCTGGAGACCAGGTTCTACTGGTACGTAGTAGCAGCGCCGACAGAGAACACGCGCTACTATTAAGAAAGTAGCAGTAGCGCGGTCCTCCTAACACACACACTACTACTATTTATACACGGGCCCGACTCCCAGGCATCACCTAGCAGTAGCGCTCTTTACCAGATCACGCTACTGGTATTGTTTGTAGTAGCAACGGGTGTCCCTTGCCCGCGCTATTACTATGGGCACCTTATCCACCCCATCGTTTCCCCTCTCTCTCCCTTACTCTCCCCTTCACACTCTCGCTTTCTCTACCGCCGTCGGCCGCCGTTGCAGTTGTTGTCACTGAGGTATCTGCGTCTCTCCCTCCTACTCCGGCCGCCTTTCTCCTGTTGGGGAACGTAATAATTTCAAAAAAAATCCTACGCACACGCAAGATCATGGTGATGCATAGCAACGAGAGAGAAGAGTATCGTCCATGTACCCTCGTAGACCGTAAGCGGAAGCGTTATGAGAACGCGGTTGATGTAGTCGTACATGTTCACGATTCGACCGATCCAAGTAACGAACGCACAACACCTCCGAGTTCAGCACACATTCAACTCGACGACGTCCCACGAACTCCGATCCAGCAGAGCTTCACGGGAGAGTTCCGTCAATACGACGGCGTGATGACGGTGATGATGTTGCTACCGAGGCAGGGCTTCGCCTAAGCACCGCTATGATATGATCGAGGTGGATTATGGTGGAGGGGGGCACCGCACACGGCTTGGATCAATCAACTTGTGTGTCCTAGGGTGCCCCTCTGCCTCCGTATATAAAGGAGTGGAGGAGGGGAGGGCCGGCCCTCTACTATGGCGCGCCCTGGGGAGTCCTACTCCCACCGGGAGTAGGATTCCCCCCCCCTCCATGTAGTAGGAGTAGGAGAAAAGGAAAGGGAAAAGAGAAGAGAAGGAAGGAGGGGGCGCAACCCCTCCCCTAGTCCAATTCGGACTAAGCCTTGGGGGGCGCGCAGCCTCCCCTCTCTTTTTTCCCCAAAGCCCAATAAGGCACATATACTGCCCGGCCAATTCCCGTAACTCAACAGTACTCCGAAAAATACCCGAATCACTCGAAACCTTTCTGATGTCTGAATATAGTCGTCCAATATATCGATCTTTACGTCTCGACCATTTCGAGACTCCTCGTCATGTCCCCGAAATCATCCGGGACTCCGAACTACCTTCGGTACATCAAAACACATAAACTTATATTACCGATCGTCACCAAACGTTAAGCGTGCGGACCCTGCGGGTTCGAGAACTATGTAGACATGATCGAGACGCGTCTCCGGTCAATAACCAATAGCGGAACCTGGATGCTCATATTGGCTCCTACACATTCTACGAAGATCTTTATCGGTCAAACCGCATAACAACATACGTTGTTCCCTTTGTCATCGGTATGTTACTTGCCCGAGATTCGATCGTCGGTATCTCAATATCTAGCTCAATCTCATTATCGGCAAGTCTCTTTACTCGTTCCGTAATACATCATCCTGCAACTACTCATTAGTTGCATTGCTTGCAAGGCTTATAGTGATGTGCATTACCGAGAGGGCCCAGAGATACCTCTCCGACAATCGGAGTGACAAATCCTAATCTCGATCTATGCCAACTCAACAAGTAGCATCAGAGACACCTGTAGAGAACCTTTATAATCACCTAGTTGTGTTGTGACATTTGGTAGCACACAAAGTGTTCCTCCGGTATTCGGGAGTTGCATAATTTTATAGTTAGAGGAACACGTATAAGTCATGAAGAAAGCAGTAGCAACAAACTAAACGATCATCGTGCTAAGCTAACGGAATGAGTCAAGTCAATCACATCATTCTCTAATGATGTGATCCCGTTAATCAAATGACAACTCATGTCTATGGCTAGGAAACTTAACCATCTTTGATTCAACGAGCTAGTCAAGTAGAGGCATGCTAGTGACACTCTGTTTGTCTATGTATTCACACATGTACTAAGTTTCCGGTTAATACAATTCTAGCATGAATAATAAACATTTATCATAATATAAGAAAATAAATAATAACTTTATTATTGCCTCTAGGGCATATTTCCTTCAGTATCCCACTTGCACTAGAGTCAATAATCTAGTTCACATCTTTATGTGATTAGTTCACATCTCCATGTGACTAATACCCAAAGGGTTTACTAGAGTCAATAATCTAGTTCACATCGCTATGTGATTAATACCCAAAGAGTGATCATGTTTTGCTTGTGAGAGAAGTTTAGTCTACGGGTCTGCAACATTCAGATCCATATGTAGTTTGCAAATTTCTATGTCTGCAATGCTCTGCATGGAGCTACTTTAGCTAATTGCTCCCACTTTCAATATGTATCCAGATCAAGACTTAGAGTCATCTAGATTGATGTAAAAATCTTGCATCGACGTAACTCTTTACGACGGACTCTTTTATCACCTCCATAACCGAGAAATATTTCCTTAGTCCTCTAAGGATAATTTTGACCGATGTCCAATGATCTACTCCTAGATCACTATTGTACTGCCTTGCCAGAAAAATGCTAAGGTATACAATAGGACTGGTGTGACGCCCGGATATTTAGGCTACAGTAATTCCACGCTAATGATGCCATGTAACCTCGGTTACTGTTGTTAATCTCGCGATGGTTCAAAAATGATTCAAATTCAAATTTAAAATCAAGTCAAACAATTAAAGTTTTCAAAGGTCAAAACTAAAATGTT